TTGTTTACGAAAAAATATATAAGTTTTCCTTTTTTGTATCCAGTGATAAATAATAGGTGATCTTACGCTCCGTATTATCCACCACTAATTCATAATTTATAACTGTTGATTTGTACTTTTCTGATTTGCTTATGGAGGTAATGAAATAGACCAATATTTTAATTTTTTTAAACATGAATGGAGAGGTTGTTATAACATAAAGGCTTCAATTGAGAAAGATCAGATCATTGTGGATAATCATTATGGAGCCTTTTTTCACCAGTGGACGTCTCGAGTCTGATATAAGTAGAAATTCTAGCGCATGTCACTGACCTCCCATGAATATAGAAGAGAAGAGAAGTAGACGTTCGCCGAAGATCTTGTTTAGAACTGCTGCTATTACGGTTAGAGTGATTCTTTCATGTCGATGTTCTCTAGCACGACACTCGTATCGATAGGCCCAGATGAAACATCTGTCGAAAACAAAGACAAAATCAAAGAAATAAGAATTTTTACTAGTCCAAATAGAAACTATGTTCCTATTTGAACAATCTAATAATATGTAAAATCATGTATAAGGATTGGTTAAGCCGTGTATAAGAGATCAAAAACACTAATTAATTCTGTGCCCAAACGACTTTTACAAAAAAAAAATATTACCAAAGCAGCCTATAAGTAATTTAATTTAATTATTTGGCGGCACAAACAAAATACTTATAAAATACAAAATTTTATACAATTTAGTACGATTGCAATGCATTACGAGTACTAGGGTATCATATTAATTAAATACGGCATACTATAATTATCGGTGGTGAGGAAGTATCGGTGCCCTGCCAGTCCTTATACATTAACCTTTTAGCCGCCTTTCTCGAGTCAATGGGAGGACTGCGTGGCCTATTGACTCAGATACTGGTGGACATTCAATGAAAAAATGTAATCCCATATGTAGCTGTGTTATTTGACCTAAGTTCATGGAGACTCCAACATAATGTTCTTAACTATAGTTAGAGGGACATAATTAAGTTTTTTTTCAAGTTGTCAGTCGCATTTCGTAATAGGTAAATTAGGCCATCAACTGGGTTCCAGAGCTCCGGGCTATCTAACAGGCTACCGAACCTCCGGCTCAAAGGAGAAGTAGGAACGGGATGGATTTTGGCAATACGAGTCTGACTCTCGCCTCACCCAAAACGGGAGAAGAAGTCATTGGATAATGTTCTCCATAAAAAAAACGCCATTAACCCTTTGAGTACCGTCATTATAGACACAATTAAAAAACAATAGGTTGCGGTCATCGGTGTCCTGCAGCGTTTGACAGTTTAACCGGGCACTATTAAACGCTATGCTATCACTGATATTTTTTTAAATTTCATAGCTGTTCCAGTACTACTGTGTCCCCCCGTAATGAAATGTAACACCTCTTGCAACGGTTACAATCGCAAGTGATTACTCGATCAACGAGGTAACCTGTTATTAGCTGACATTACGAATAGAGTAGTAGTTGGTTACGTCTTCGTGCCTCAAGGGCAATATACAATGGTTATTCTTAATAACTATTTTATGAGGAAATTGAGTATTTCCAGACTTCTTCACATGGTTTCTTTTTCACAAAATATGTCGAAATGAAATTCTAAGTCATCTGTAGCCTAAACTTCACTGGTCTTTGCTGTTAGTCTGAATAGCTTAGCAAGCAGATTTGTGTAGGTATTAGTGACAGAATTAACTACGACATACTTTGTACGTAGTTTTATGTTGTCAAACTATCATTAGTATCGAAATCTACTGACAGATAGGTTATTGAGACTACCCATAGTAATTCTAACACGATTAAACTACCTAATGTAGGTACATAAGTAAATATTTTCCAAACACACATACCTCTGTGCATAACAATCCGGGCATGGCAGTTGCGATTTGAACTGGGGATTTTTGTCCAAATACTCTCTAGTAGTCTTTACAAGGACAAGCATAATTGTGAGAGTTGTGGTCATGTTCACGCTACTCTCGCCTGTGGGCACGTAATGTTACAACAATTATACTATAGTCCAACTAAATACCGTAACAAAAACTTGTTTGTTCCAGTCGATAACACTAATAATATCCCCTGACCGATTAAAACCAAGTAAATAAGAGATTAGTTATTTTAGTTTATTTTTGCGCGACATTAGGAGTTTCTTCTATGGTGGGTGCGTTTACAAATGTACTAGTTCACATACACATGACACCCAGACCCGGAACAACAACAGTCAGTCAGCCCAGCCACCGCGCCAACCGTGCAATCATTCTACAATTCTACCACAAACATCATTAATTCATTACAAAAACAGATATGTGGTCAAATACTGATGTATTATCAGTTCCTTCCATCTCATGATGGGGCAGTAAGTAGACGCAACCGGAGTAAGGTCAAACTTGAGTTTGACTTGCGTGGGGATCTTGAGATCTCCATGTAGTTCCCGAGCTATGATGAAACGCTACAAAACTTCTTGACTCAGGATTTACAATGACAACTATTATTGAAAGAAAACCGTCAATACCTGGGGAGTCGAATGGAATACTAACAGACAAGGCAGTCGTAAATTAAGACTAATGAAACTATAAGAAAGTCCAGGGTAACATTTAAAGTTAAGGGTACTATGTTTCACAGGCTAATTTTAAGCACGAAAGCATCCTTCAATTGAGCACTTGTCACTTACTGATGTGTGTCGGAATGTAACTCAGAATTACTTACTACACATTTCAGGCCCAGTGCCTTTAGCAAAACGCCACTTTAGTGCTTGTCTACAGGTCGCGAAGAACCTAACGGGTTACCGGGGCTCCAGCTCGATGTGCAGGAGAAGGAACGGGGTGGTTTTTAGTCAGTAAGTGTCTGAAACTCCCTCCCGCCTCACCCAGGCGGGAGACTATTCGATGATTTTCCCCCCATAAAAAGAAAGCGCTCGTCTACAGAGAGACTAGAAATTAAAATGTATGGGGATGACCCTGACAATTAGTGTCAAAATTTACGTCATTTCCATATAATATGGTTTTCTATTCTACATGTAGACAAGCGCTAAAGTGGCGTTTGGCTAAAGGCACATGTTTGCAAATCGACAGTCGTTGAATATTTGAAAATTTTTGACCGTGTTCAACAGAACGTCTTTTAGCGAGCATTTTAGAACATGTGTAACAGAACCTTCACGCTATTCTCGAGTTAAAAGCACTAATTGATTGGAAGAAAACTTCCTCAATAGTAACTATTGTCTTTATTTTAAATTAATTCAGAAATGATTCTTCTCATGAACAGTTTCAGAACAGTAACTTCATTCTGAAATCGTTAAAGGAAGTCTTAATGACATTTATTCCTAGTTATATCCGCTAGTTTGAAAAGCAGTTATGGTATAATAATATTCCGTCATCTATTTATATTTCCTCTTTTCAGAATAGTACAGAAAACGGAAACTATTTACAATAGCTTAAATCACGGTTCAAAACATTTGATGTACGTAACACCTATGTATACAGCGTGTCCCTGAAGTCGATGTCCGATTGACACCTGGACGTCGAGGACTAGGACACCCTGTTTATTTATAAGATTTGTATACATCATCAAGTTTCCTTTACTTCATGAATATAAAGAAAATATCCTTAAGTATAATAACACAAGCTTTTGCTGTTGTTCCAGGTCATAATCTACCCTTGTTCGAAATGTCATCCTGTTCCCTTCAGTTGCTTTGACGTAATGGAATAACAAGCATAGCTAGACATAAAGTCATTCGTATTTATAAGACATAACATAGTGGTGCACATTACGGCACTTAATGCCACTGTACAATGTAACACCCACTTTTCACTATTTATGTTATGATTCCCATGTAATAGGTGGTGAGACTATTGCTGTATACCGGGCACAATTCTAGACTCCGTGCTACTACTGATATTTTTTTTAAAAACCCAGTAATACTTTGCCCGACACGGGTATCGAACCCGAGACCACTTGCCCGGGAGTCGCACTTGCGACCACTCGGCCAACGAGGCAATTTATAGTATTAGTAAGATTGCAAACTATTCTTCTAAGCCCTTCCTTATACGAGTACTTCACTCTTACCTAGTTTCACAGTAGGATCATGACAATCCAAAGGGCTAATATCGTAACTCTCCAGTTGTCTCTCGGGAAAATAAGGATTAAACCGGTAGAATATATTTTCTAAAATATTCTCTTTCATCATTTCTATGCCTGAAAATAAATAACAGGTAAGTTTTTAATGTACTAATCCTCTGAAAAACAAGAAAATGAGTCATTTACATGGTTAAATTCATGCTCTGAGAAGATAAAATTTAAGTTTCAATTTCGAATGAGAGAAAACAATAACGAGGAAAGTACTAAACACATAAAACACAGCATTCGTTCGTAGTAGGAAATATCTCTCAAAAATATTAAATGCTTTATTAAACCATCTATAATTTATATCAGATACAAGATCCCTATCCAACCTTCAACCCACTTTCAGGTGGCAGACATGGCAGTTAATAGAAAGTTAACAATAAGGAGGTGATCAAAAACAGGACGGCTTGAATATTTATCATTGCCTAAGCAGGTATTGTCAGACGGTGGACCGCCAACGGATAATAATTGGCTATAAAATGTTTTCTAGGCTACGAAGAAAATGATAGTTTATGACGATGAGACGACAATAATAATTTTATTATAGTAGGAGAACATGGTCCAGTATCATGGTTCAAGTTTAGGTTTCGACTCCGATTGCACCGTGTCTGCTCCGAAAGATGCTTCCCTTGAAAAGTAGTTATAGATCCACTGTCTGCTGATGTATAAATAGGTTTCACGTTTAATTTAACTTAGGACAATTATGCCACAAAATAACACAACATCGTGATTTATTTACTTGTTGCGTTTTAGAGGTATTACCTCATGTATAATTTTGTACGGAAGTTAAGAAAGAAATTTCAAATATTCCCACAGATACAGGATACCCAAAATATGTGTCTAGTGTCTTTGCTTAATCTACAATTCAACTAAATTTTTAGACAAACGTACAATTCTCCGCCGTATCGTAAGCTAGAAGAAGTGCGATCTCCAAAAATATGGGGAATTTATGTGATCTGGCGATGGCGAGCATTCTGACGGTGGTCTGACGGAGTACGGGAGCTGCTGCAGTCAAGGAGTGTCGCAGGTGAACCGTCCCCGGCCCTCTCATCTTATCCGGAGCCGTCAGGTGCCAGATCACAGCAGCAGCTACTATATCGAAGAGTGTTTCGTCTTCCAGCTCTATTAAGAGGAAACCTGGAACAATCATTTAGAAGTCGCTACTTAAAGATTATAGTCAGAATTTTTGTTTTGTTTTATAGAGAAGTATTTTCGTAGAAAAACTCGTGCTGTGTCAATGTTGGCAATGGGGATTACACCTATCTAAATAGGTACTTGAAATGAGTTTCTTAAAATAATATCGGTAGTAGTTAATTTGTATACGAGCTATTTGTACTCCTACAATAACGAATGGTATCGCAAGTTTATAATAGTGGTTCACACAATGGGTCGCGGTTCATCAAAAACAGTAAAACAAACAAACAAATAACAAGAAATGAATTGAAATGGGAGACAAACTAGAACAATCAATAACTAATAACAACATGAACTAATAACAAATAAACCAAATCAAGAGAGCGCCCTTCAAAAAGTCGATTGACAAGTTTTATACAAAGTAGGAGGATGACTCTTACGAATTTTACACGCTGATAACCAATTACCAAGACCCAGACGATCCTGAATATAATGACAGTTGCAATACTCAAATTGTCCTTAATGAAATACCAAGTGTTTATAAAGCTGACACTGAAATGCTGAAACGCTACTCTAACGTCCAGTTTCTATAACCTATCTATCTTTTTGTTTACACTGCTACTGCTACACATTTTGTATGGAGCTCATGTCAAAATTCTATCTCTAGTAAGCAAATCTACAGATAGATAGGTTATAGAAACTGGACGTAAGTCGCGCTTAACTATAGTTAAGTTTTGTGACTACAGTTTTTTGTAAAATGACAGATATTACTATATTGCGTACAATTTAAAATTGAGCAGTCTTTCTGTATTCGGGCTTAAAACACTGGACTTTTGTGTGGTCGTGGCTGTGGTATCGTATTACAGACAAATGAGGCGAAACCTTTACTGCCTTCATACCGTAGAGAAAGGGCCTATCACCATGGAATTGCCCATGGTTTTATGTTACCTACTGTTGTCTGCAGTAACGGCTATAGATTTAATGTGATGCCTAAATAAAGTACTAAAGTGTAAATGGACTTTTATCGGATTGCGTGACCAGCACCTTTAATCCAGAAAACAGAAACGGAAGAGGATTCGTTTGTGTTATCCGTAGGCCTTTTGATAACTATAAATATAAAATCCACGTGTATAGGAGTATTCGTTTTATTTCCTGCAGCGCCAACGATTACAACATAAACATGGCAAAGACTGCTGTTAATGAAAATAAACAATCCATTCATAATATTCCATTATAAGACCAGGTTCATAGAATCCATCAAAGAAAAGTCGATCATTCACCGTTCATTTCCTCTATTGAGTATTTTCTTTATGTTTCTAAATAGCACTTTGTTCTCAATGTTTATTGTCATCGAGAGAGAAAACTGATGACAATCTCCTGTATTAATGATATGGTGAAGCTATTTGTGGTTTTTGTTCAATAAGTAATGCAGTATATTGTACTCAGTAGTAATATTACTTTTTAATTGTCTACCTACTGTGATAATGATAATGCTTCTATAGTAATGATGCAAGGCTTCTGATTTATCCACACAAATCAGAAGGGTAATATTTATTTATCTAATCCAATAATCCAAACATTTAAACTAGCACTATTTATAAGCAGAATCAAAGGTACTCAATAAAATCGATATATTTTCGTAGAATTAACGATGATGGCAATCAATTAAATGTGCCTACGTACAGTTTGTCTATTTATTAATGAAAATCAATGAGGGCGCCACAGGTCGTAAGTACCAACCAAATAAAATCCAAAACTAACCAAATAAATGTGCAATGTTAAAATCCTTAGACATAAAATCGTTTATTTTGTAGGTTTTTCTCTTGTGGCAAATAACATATAAACAGTAATACGATTCCTACCCCTTTATAGGTACTTTTGGAGCGAAAATATAATCGTAATTTTGATAAAGTTCAGCTTCTTGTTCTATTGAAAACCACTTTATATACGAAATACAATCAGTCGAGCTCCACTCTAAATTGTTCTTTTGCATGTCTAACAAACTCCTTCTAAATTTTATTTCCTTAAATTCCAATCTAGTACCTTTTTAACAAAAAATATTCGCAAAACAATCTCGATCGCAGCTGATGACTTTCAACGTACTTTCATTGAGTGTTGCCACAGTTTGTGTTGTAAGTTCCACAAACACTCGTCGTCATTCTTAAATGGACAAACTATATAATCATAAGCATATCAACAGTCCATTTGACACCTGACCCACTACATGAGTTCTAAGACAGTACAATTGAAAGCATTGCCATGAGAAGCACGCTTGCATGCTCCATAAATTTTAATCATAACACCTCAAAAGGAGTAAAATCCCTCGAGTGACAACGACATTGTCCTCTTTTAGATGCCATTAAATGGCGTGGCGATACTGTCTTGGCCTCAATACACTAAACACGAAACTCTACGTAATAGCAGTTCGATTTCAATTAATTCTCATGATATTGTGCAGTTTGTTTCATTCAGAAAAAGTGAAGCTACTTTTTACTTGAGGCGCGTGTGTTGTACATATCACATATGGTAATTATCACGAAATGAATGTTGATCGTGAGGGAATATTAAAAATACCAAAATTATGAAATATATGCGTCTTATTTCTGGAGCATGGTCAGTTTGTCACATATCACGCCATCTAACAGATTTAAAAACAACATTGAAGTAAAGGTGGATTATGAAACGAAATTCTGTCAATTTAAGAACACTAATGTTATAGCTAAAGGTTTAATATGCGGACAGATGGCGTTGTACATATAACAGGGGGCGTTCAAGGTTAGGTCACCCTACGTAAAGCAAAGGGCTAAAATTGGTAGAGTACAATGCCCACCCCTTTATTAATACCTGTACTACAGCCACCCGACAGATGGCACTGTGCCGTGACGTCATTTTTTGAATCGCGGTGTTAAGATTCTCCGCGATTGAATGACCCCAGACGGCGACCAGTGGTACATTATCGCTTCTCGGCCTCTTGGCTAAGATCAAAGTGTAGTAACTGTTCTTTTCAGCTTAATATCTGAAAGTTCCCTCACTGAGGGACCAGAAAATTAAACTGAATTTTTGAAGTTGACGGGATGTAGGGGCTTGCTCCACTCCCGTCACGGGTCGGCCCGGCATTGCAGTGCCGCCGGGATCGGCCCACAGATTACCTTGAAAACTATAATTCTTAACAGTGGACTTAAAAAATTCGCAACGTGATTATTTTTATGAAGGTGACTTGTGAAAAATGCTTGCACGTTCAGCTTAGTTAATTGTTGAAAATTTTACAGGAGATTTGATTCAAGAGTAAAATAGCAGACTAGCTTGTTACACAGATAGGGACAACGTTAAGTTGATAGAGACTCGTACTGTTCACGAAGAAACTTTAAAATTATTCATTTTCATGATAATTATTTTAATAATTACAAAACTATCTTAATTTTGTAGTTAAAATTTTCATGCAGTATAATTTCCGTCGTTGTTTCGGTTTATGATGACGATGGTTTATAATAAAACTCTTAGAAATAAGAGCAGCATAGACCACCGTGCTGATAGCCCAAGGGTAGATGCAATTGAAGACATAATTCATTGTAGATAAACTGTGCCATCATATTGAATGCCCGAGGCAAAGCGGAATATTACTGTAGACAGATAATTAAATGAATAGATACACAATTAGGACCATGTAACACCCACTTTTCACTATTTTATGTTATGAGTCCCATGTAATAGGGGGTGAGCCTATTGCCATATACCGGGCAAAATTCCAGACTCCGTGCTACTACTGAGATTTTTTTTAAACCTAGTAATCCTTTGCCCGACCCGGGAACCGAACCCGAGACCCCTTGCCCGGCAGTCGCAGTTGCGACCTCTGGGCCAACGGGGCTCAAAAACTCGTATCATAAAATAGTGAACAGTGGGTGTTACATGGCACAGTGGCATATAAGTGCCGTAATGTGCACCTCCGCCTACGCCTTCGGGGATAAAAGGTGTGATGTTATGTTATGTAGATTCACAATTAGCCAATGACAATGCAGTGCTCGACTGGCTTCCTCGGTATAGGGAGAAGGAGTTTGCCAAGTTCTCCACGCGTCGCAGTCGGGTCGCAGTTTAACAGGTTCAGGTTTACCAGAGACTGATACTGTCTGGTCTCTATTAATTGTCCTTACGTTACAACCGTGGCAAAAGTAAGGGTAATTGAAAAATGTTAGTACTCACCTATATACCCAATGAAGTTCATAAGCTTGTCGAAATAGGTGACCACGTCGGATGCCTTGACTAAAAAAATGGGGTGCTTCAAGTTCTTCAGTAGTGACACCAGTCCAGGCTTTAGGATAGGATAATCGGCTACCGCCTCTAGTAAGTAGTTTAAAACTTTGCAAACGTTGCTCAGAACGTCAATACGCTGGCAATCGTATTAAGAAAACTATTAAGACTTTGCCAATAAAAAACTGTTGAAGGTAAATCCTCCGCTAACGCCGGTCACCGGTGACCCCCATGGCGTTTAACGTGTTAAGGCATTTTGGCAAAATTTGAAAATTATAACGTTATGAATTATATCCCCAAAAGTTGTTATTATTGCATATTACCATAATGTTATTATTCCATTATTGTTCCTTAAAAATACAAACAGCATAGACTTTCGTATAACAGATAACATGATATATATATAAATGATGTCCATAATTGGCGATACATTTAGTAGAGAGGTACATAGGAATACATTTCATAATGTACGTATCTAGCTTCATATTTTTACATAATATTGTAGTACCTGCAGTATGTACATAATATAAAAATGATGCTAATGACCCGCTCTTTACTGTTTCCAAGATCAAGCACTAATTTTAAATCCCACGTATATTGCTAAATCATAAAATAAATCGCCACAACCGCGCACACACGAGGAAGAGTCCCCCTGTGCTTTGAAACTAGTAGAGCTTTTTCAATATATTTACGTAAGCAAACCGATATTTTTAGTTAACCTTACATAAAATATACTTCTGGAAATATTAAACAAAGGATACGTATCCATTGCTGCTGGTTCTGGCGAAGTCACTGAGATGTTCCTGGAAGCGATCTATCTGTCTCTCTACGGTGGGACACCGAACCATATCCTCGAGTATCTGAGCCATATCCCAGCCGAATGACGGAGGACAATCGGTATTCCATTTGGGGTCTGAAAAGGAAAAAATTGTAAGTTAGGATAATAATATTATTGTGTTATATGTTGTACTTAGAACAAAGTGAGCCACAGTCTGATCGACACGTTGAAGAATTTACACAATTTTGTACAAAAGAAAGTAATACCCTTTCGTATTCATCTGTTTTTCCTGTACCTAGCTGGATAGAATTGAAAGAAAAATATAGTTAGAATTGGAAATTGGAATTGGAAGAATAATATAGTTAAGAATCAGATGTATTTTCTTTCATCTTATATCTTATAAAGCGTTTGTTTTTTTTTTGTTTGAACGCGCTAATCTCCGTAACTACAAGTCTGATTTGAATTTTTTTTTTTTGTGTTGGATACCGTATTTGTCCAGGATGGCTGTAGGCTATAAAATATCACGCTATGACCAGGAGCTGAGCAGAGTTTGTGAAACCGCGCGGAAGTAGCTAGTAACTAATAAATGTAATTGCTTTATACCTGTTAATGACAACAGTTTTTTCTTGTTAGCCTCAATAAAAACTACACAGGTCATCGAAAGTTCGCGGTGACGTCAAAACTACATCAATCCTCAAATTCCCAATTCCCAAAAGGCCGGTAACGCACTTGTAACGCCTTGGTGTATCGAGTGTCCATGGGCGGCGCCGATTGCTTACCAACAGATGATCCGTCTGCTTTTGCTATAAAAAAGTTTACCGGCTTATGCTAGATAAAAAAAAAATGTTGACTAGTTGAAAAAAGCGAAAAAATTGATCGCTTTCTTAAACGAAACTAATACATGAAAATGAAATCTAAAGATGCACCGGAATCGTTATCAGGTCAGTCACGATTTCATTGGCAGTAAGCATGCAACAGTTATTGTGATTTGTTTTAAGAAACCATTTAATTGTTATGTCCTCAACAAGAGTAGAAATCATGAATAATTACGACTGAGGGTCAGTACTTGATAGTTAATAGCAATTCTTTAAAGTACGAAGTTCAATATACTTAACTAATTAAGGATTTTATTTAGACACTAGCTACTTCCGCGCGGTTTCACACGCTCTGCTTAGCTCCTATTGGTCGTAGCGTGATGTTTTATAGCCTATAGCCATCTATATATATATAATTCAAAGGTGATTGACTGACTGACTGACTGACATAGTGATCTATCAACGCACAGCCCAAACCGCTGGATAGATTGGGCTAAAATTTGGAATACAGATAGATGTTATGACGTAGGCATCCGCTAAGAAAGGATTTTGATAATTTCCACCCCCAAGGGGGTAAAAAAGGGGATGAAAGTTTGTATAGGACTTTGTCAGTTTTAAACCGATCGGGTTTAAATTTGGCAAGCAGATAGATGTTATGACGTAGGCATCCGCTGTGAAAGGATTTTGATAATTTCCACCCCCAAGGGGGTGAAATAGGGTATGAAAGTTTGTATGGGACTTTGTTAGTTTTAAACCGATCGGGTTGAAATTTGGCATGCAGATAGATGTTATGACGTAGGCATCCGCTGTGAAAGGATTTTGATAATTTCCACCCCCAAGGGGGTAAAATAGGGGATGAAAGTTTGTATGAGACTTTGTCAATTTTAAATCGATCGGATTGAAATTTGACATGCAGATAGATGTTATCATATAAGCATCCGCTAAGAAAGGATTTTGATCATTTCCACCCCTAAGGGGGTTAAAATAGGGGGTGAAAGTTTATATGAAGCTTTGTCAGTTTTACACCGATGCAGATGAAATTCGGCATGCAGGTAGATGTTATGACGTAGGCATCCCCAAGTAAGGATTTTGATTATTTCCACCTCCAATGGGGTAATGTAGGGGATGAACGTTTGTATGAAGCTATGTCAGTTTTACACCGATCGGGTTGAAATTCGGCGTGCAGATGGATATTATGACGTAAACGTCCCTTTAGAAAGGTTTTTGAACATTCTCACCCCAAAGTATGATACTTTGCCAGTTTTAAATTGATCGGGCTGAGACTTTGCATGCATAAATTTACTATGACATAGGTATCTCCTTAGAAAGGATTTTGATAAATTCCACCCTAAGGGGATAAATAGGGAATGAGAGTTTGTATAAATCTTCTTAGCCATTGAATTTAGAATCATTGAATCTTTTTGAATTACATTCGGTAAAACGAAGTTTTGGGACCTGGGTAACGTTTGATAGTTTTTATCACAGATGTCCCACGGGAACGGGAACTATACGTCAATGCCCCGGGACTGTCTAACTCTTAACCACTGAACTTATTTTAGAGAGATTCGGTACAACAATAGTCGATAGAATAGTTTTTATTACTCAAACCTTACGTGATCGGGCACTGTACTGGTAAGATCCCTGCGGGATTATTTATTTATTGAAACTACGATAAATCATTTCAAAATAGGTAAATCTTACTTGGGCACTGAATTGATTCTGATTAATTCTGTCAGAAGTCATTAATCTACGCGGACGAAGTCGCGGGCAACAGCTAGTCCTCGATAAATGCGCTATCCAACACAAAAATAATTATTCAAATCAGACTTGTAGTTGTGGCGTATTAGCGCGTTTAAACAAACAAACAAAAAAACAAACTCTTCAGCTTTATAATATTATAGTATAGATTAATCTGCTACCTAGGATGACGAAACCGACAAATCAAATATCATGAAGGTAGATCTTCACCCGATTTCCATTAGCTTTTGTAAACGGTGTAAATACTACCTAAGATACAGCAAGGCCGGATTTGATTTCCTATGTCCAATCACCAAGATAAGTAAGATTTTCGAAATCAGTTCACAAAATAATGTGTCACAGAGATCCAATTTGAGATCACATGTATTAGTATGGCCTTTAATACCGCGAGAAAAGTCGCGTCTTTAAATTAATTATTACGCATTTATATACTATACATTATTATACTTAGAACATAAAATCACATTGACTATTCTTGTTATATTAGAAGCAACCAAAAATTCTAATTCATAATAGTTTCCGGGGACACATTTGGAAGTAATAAAGAGAGATGGTACATAAATAAACATATCACAAAGCAGCGATCTTCAAAGGACGACGGTAGTAGTTAGAAATCTTATATTATACGAATGCAGAATAACATATGAAGATAAAGAAAAGAATTTACTACAGGTGACGTGAGTAATATGACACTGAATACCACAATGGCCGACAGTTGAATACGAGGTAATTAATCGTGAAACAAGTTAATTATACCCAGTGAACGTTACATGGAAATTGCTTTGCATCTGTCAAAGAAGAAATTAGTATGAAATCTACATAACACTGCCTCATTGGCCGAGAGGTCGTGCGACTGCCGGGCAAGGGGTCTTGGGTTCGATTTCAGGGAGCAAAAAATTACTGGGCTTAAAAAAATCTCAGTAGTAGCACGGAGTCTAGAATTGTGCCCGCTATATGGCCATAGGCTCACCCCCTATTACATGGGAGTCATAACATAAAATAGTGAAAACTGGGTGTTACATTGCACAGTGGCCTTAAGTGCCATAATGTGCACCTCTGCCTATCCCTTCGGGGATAAAAGGCGTGATGTTATGTCTACTAAACATCAAGAAGAGGTAGATAGGAGATTCATAGAGTACTGAGAGCTCATATGATGATGATAAATATTATATAGATTTTTATTAGTGCCATGGAATAGAGAAAGACCCTATTGCCAATGAATAAAATAGGCACAATTATATAATTTAAGTTTCGAAATTTTCGCCTCATTTTTTTAGTACGGTTACTGCGAATGGACTGTCACCAAGATTTTTAGATTATAGAATTTAGAAAGGACACTATAATAATATAGACTGGCATAGAAAATACCTGTCGAAGAACCAGCGCCATATGTCAATCATCATAAATTGTATTAAATTTATGGGAGATACAAAAATGTCATGTTTATGACCTATGCTTTGAATGTCATTTTTGGGACTCTGTATGGGACTAGCAAATGCAGCGTAAAGACAGAAGTAGCATTATGCAGCACATGTCACCAAAGCCACCATCGCAGTACGAGAAATCATTATGGCAACTGATTAAAAGGGGTAAGTGGGTGAAGGAAAGTGCACATAAATGTAATAAAAGGACAAACGTTCTATTTGTTTAAGTGCACTTTCATAAATACTGTGCCGTCTGCTATATGTGGGCATCGCAACCAAAATTGTTGTAGGCACATGAATTGATAGCAAGGAAACGGGGTGAATAGGAGGCGAACATATTGAATGAGGTCTAACTTGAAATAAAGAAATATATGACGACTTAGTCACGTTAAATTAACAATTTTAAAGTACTTATTATCTCTAAAGCTACATTTGGATGTTTCCAAAGTACAAAGCCTTTCGTAAAGTACCTTTCGGAATAGGATCCAAGTTCTTCAAAATATTTCTTTTCAGCAACCCTTTCGCCGTGTATTCTTTGCCGTGAGGGCCATGGATACACTCGAAAGTGTCTGATGACCCTGACATCGACTCGGATATACTGTAGAATTCCTCCCTGGTCGTCTGTTCGAACTCCTTCTTCTCTCTGTTTCTCTTATAAAATTTCGTATGGGAAGATTCCTCTGACACATTTCCCAAGTCTCTCCAAATTTTGCTTTTACGAGGATGCACTTTCGTAGGAAGTGGTACCAGTACCGACGATGCCGTGCTCTCGTCGATTTCATCCAACGGCAAGGACTCACTTATTTTGTTAGTTGATACACTCTGCTCAGTTGGGTGAGGGGCCAGCCGAGAATGAGAATCCTCTGATTTCCACATTTTAAGGGAATATCAGTGATCTAAAAATACATAACACAAATTGTTGTTACAGAAATGTGACATGAACCGATGACATTATGTTTTTATTTCACTGATGCGGTAAAACATCCTCCTTGATTTTTGTAATAAATTAAAAAAGGTTTTAACTGTTCCATTGTCGATCGGTAATGCAATAGATTCAAAGTATTAGTGACATCTTGTTGTTTAAGTGAGCAGCAGAAGGCGAGGTAAATCGGTCAGGTCCCCTGCGCCGGCGCAGCTTAGCGGGCGCTGAATTTATCCGAGTGGTGGGACCAACGGAAAGACGAACAGACACGCTCACTCAGTCGCACCTCCACGCCGGCGGATGACAGTCGTGTTTCGCTCGCAGTCACGCGCGTCGTACGTACTCGATACTTCATTAGTTTTCCCCTCGAGAAAACCAAGTGAAATAAAACTATTTGCCCGCGTCAGTGGACGTAGTGAGTGGATTTGTCGCTAGTGATTGTTGACACCTGCATCTACACACGGTGAGTGTTGCCTGTGCTTAAGATTTTCCCTAAATTGCGGCCAAACGTTTGTTTTGTTGACATTGTTACGTATTATGATAATGGAAATGCTGCGAGCGGCAATGCCTGAGCCCGCGTTATTAGATATAAGTTAATCATGTTAGCATGTTCGCAACTATACCTAACACATAAGTCATGGACGCGCCAGCAACGGAGTAACGATAGAATCCCTATTTTTTCAGATTTGTTTACTTCCCTATTTTTATCCACAAGTGGCGCCCGGTTTGGGTGAGATAAAAAACGTGTATAGGTTTGAAGTAGACATAAAAACAGCCGTCATTTAAACATGAATTTATGAAACACATTATCCGCCAACAGAAAAGTTTATTATGTGTTATTGACAGAGACGAGTGACGCAACTGTGTCTACCTACGGCTAACAGCTACCCATACCACATTACCAAATGAGAGACAGTCGTAATAAATTTCCTTAATATGTTAATATTGACTTTGAAATAAATACACCTCTGCACACAGCGTCTATACTACCTGCATCTATGTATATGTCATCCAATTATATACTTAGTTAATATGGAGTAGGTTGTTATTTAGTTTGTCATGTCGTAAACGGTCACTCGTTGTGTGCAACCACAGTTGCTACTAGTTTTAATGACACAGGTATCATAGCACAGTGATTATGCTGTTACGTAAAACTTAGCATGTAAATAGATATCAATATACTTACAATATAGGTACAATACTCATAAATAAACGAAAACGACAACTCGTCTGAATTCACTAGATGATTTCGTTAAATAACGTATTAATCCATATTAAAATGTTTTTGTTGCAAAAACTGAGAGTGTAAATTCATATCGAGGTTAGACATTCGGATTACTAATTAATTAAAAAGTTATGTAGATTATACCTAAGCGGAATCAACGAAGTAGATCGCCTTCGAAAAATTCTTTAAAAACGATACAAATTCAATCTCACTTTTTACTTTTGCGTGTAGCCAGTATATAGTACCTAACCTATGACCTTAAAATGTAATTGTATCACCCAATTCGCCACTGCCAGTACCATGTTAAACACATTACTTTATTTATTTATCAATCTTGATGATATTCAAGTAAAAACTGACGAGTTATTAACTATATCTATTTATTTAGACACGATACTTAATCTCTGAAAGACTTTCTTGGATCAAAATATATGATTCCTATTGCATTTGATCATAGATTTAAACGTTCTCTAGAGTCTTGTTTCCCTATGATTCTCTATAATATCTACAGCGATGAGGAAAGTTGGAATAAAAGAAATAACTAGGCATATAACTTTATTCCATCATCATTAGGTTATCCTATAATTGCACTGGGGTCTAGGACACAAACAAATGCCAGTTTCCTGAATAAACAATTACTCAAGTAGGCTAGTTATTAGCGATGTTTGTGCCAGTATAAAGTATATTGGAATTATGATAATGTTTATTTACAAAGAGTAATTTCCCACCAAAAATACAACTAAAGGCACTTTTGCTGTGCTAAGAGTAAGACAAACTAGATCCCTCTGCATACTCTGAAAACAATTCAAAAATAATGTCTACAGGTAACTTTTAAAATATACTAATAAAAATCATAACTTTTTAAACCAAAGTGTTTCGTTATGTAAACACACATTATGCCAAAGTGGCTGAAGCCCTTATGACAATAAATCCTTAAAATTATTTACCCCAGAATTGAGTTTTTTGAGCAACAACGACAGTAGTATAATTGCATAACAATAATTTATGTTGAAAAAAGACAAGAAACAAGACGTTTGAGTGAATTTATCAGGACATGACCGTTGTTCAATTTGTACTAAACTTTCTCGCGACATTACTCAATACTTAATATAATAATAACAGTAGAAAACAGATAATAATGGTTACATAGTACGATTTTCTAATAATCAGTTAAGTTTTAACTGTAGAATAAAATTGACATTAGACAGTTTAAAAACTGTCTGTATCTGTGTTTGAAAGAATTCTCAAATTTAAAGGTAAAATTTATCAGAGACGTTGGCAACATCGGCTCTCAAAAGAATAGATAGAACTAACCTATACTAGCATTTTATACACCATACCAATACAAATAGGTTTGTAATTACCATTGAGTAAAACTAAAATAGTTAATAGTACGTTATGAATTGCGCCAATCCTCAATCCCGCCAATCATCATTACTATCATTATCAATAGGACATTTCCGTCCACTACTGGACATAGGCCTCTCCTTACCATACCACTGAACTCGATCTTCAGCAATATTCTGTTGACACTCCCTTTTTTTTGATGACGAGGACCTTCAAGCGGCGTCTAGCTTTTTGGGGAGAAAGACTAGGGAGTGTGTGTACCTCACTAAAACCACCCCGGTGGCCACCCTCAGCACCTGTACGGGACACCGGATCCTCTGAAGAGACCAGCTCCAGAGCCCCCACAGTGCAACGCCTGTTACAGCACATTCCTAGAGAGACCTCCGTGTCCCTTGATCTTCGCTTTGCACGGCAGCACGTGACCACTATGATACCGTCTTCCCTGAGATTCTGTTGATACATAATTACATACACATTGTTTTTATAGCACTTTATCAAGTTGTTTGGTTAGGTACCAACCTCTTTAGACCAATGTGATACTTACTAACAAAATAAATGTAGCTACTAACTTTGTTTTCTAAATAAGAAGACCTGAAGTTATTCATCAAAAAAATTCAGCAGTTTTGATCATCATGACATGAGCTGTGTGTGGGTATTGTTGGTATGCTACTAGCTGTCTATGTGTGATCGAATCAGGCGCATTTGAATCAATGTACTTATGTATGTAGAAATCTTTTTCTGCACCGCTCAAGGTCACAATAGCGAATTTTTGCAAAAACAAGATGCCTTATAGACTTTATTTACGTGTTAGTAAAAAAATGGATACAATTGAGATTTTTTTTATGAAATGAGAAATAAAGGCTTAATAAAATGGTAAGTAATAACTATTGTAGTGGAAAATCTGAGGATTTAAAGACGGAAGTACAGATTTTTATGATGAGTGTTTCATACCTATTTATGTAAACAAGTCATTACTAACGAATTGTGAGTCACTTTGATCACTGATCTCATAGGATAACTGGTCCGATGGAAGTATACTGAAAATACATGCCTGTCTGTTATGAAAGATTAGGTAATCTATTTGTTTATCTTTCACTATGTTTCTCACATTTCCAGACCTCCTTAAAGTCACTAACCAGATTAGCAATATATTAAAGAAGGGCCAAATAACCGATGAACATGCATGAAAAGACTGATGACTGTTGATGAAGCGAAAAACGTATGAATGTAAGAATTGTAGCAATTGCCGTTCCATAGTCTCTGCCTACCCCCTTGGGAGACAGGTGTATGTATTAAAGTTACTCAATTCAACTCAAAGAAAAATTTGCCCTAAAGTACAAAATCGTACCTCATTCTGACCATTTGAACTCAATTAGTGCGCCAATGTATACCACCTTCTGTGCTTTAAACAACTTATTAAACTATACACAGATTATTCTACAAATTATTAGCTTCTTCATAATAATTACCATACTGTATACAAACTACAGAATACAGGTCTTCAAACGGTGTAACAGACCTATTGCCCCAATGAGATAATAGTTCTTATGCCGTTGACTTAATGACCACTGCAATGAATGACTCATTTACCTACGTGTTCTAGTACTGTTGACTCAGTTCCCATAGTCTAATACTGAGCTATCATTAGTGGCTAGTACGGTCACTATAACTTAGGAAAAGTCACTATAACTTTTGACGTCACACCTGAATAGCCAATGAGAGCTCAGGACTACAGGACTTCGTCTACATGAGAGGAATTTGATATAATCTTCACGCTTGGCGGACAGATCTCGCAGCTTAGAAGGTTCAGGTTGATCAGAGGGCGCTGCTGGACGGTCTGTGTTGAATGTTCAGTCTCCTAGTTGGCTTATACTATACTCGCAGGAAGACCGCCAGTTTCAAGATTCCCACTCGACTTTGATTTAGGATAATATATTTTGGTTTGGTTATTTAGTATTTTACAGTTTTTTGATAAATAGTTATCTACCAAATCATTTAAAACCATAAATTGTTTTTAGGTAGTTAAGCCGATGTGTTATTTATTTCCCCGAGTTAGATCCTTTTGTTTTACGCTACAGACATGCAGTAGTTATCATCAATGACACATAGAAGTCATCCATTATAATATATCTTACAGTCTTAAGGTTGTTGCAGAGGAACTGAAAGAATGTGCATTTTACATTGAACATAGTTATGTAGGTGGTACACACGGCAAGACAAAACCATACAAAACTCATACCAACCAATACTCAACCATACAAAGATCTCACTTTGTATTATGTTTCTGCATATTTGACGGTCAGCGTATGTTGGTTTTGTATAGCTTGATCTGTGGTCGTGTTTACATAATGTACGTCAAACATGCAGGTGATTAATGACTTC